TATTCATAATCTCCCCAAACCATCTGTTTTCATCCAGAAAAAAACCCCCAAGCTCCAAAAAATATTAAGCTTCCTTTGCTAGTTAAGTAGTGTATATATTACTGATAACTGCAGATACTGCCCCACCTTACACATTACTGAAGTGAATGCCATAATTGGCTCAAGTCATTGTTGAAATCATTGGATGCATCCTTACTGGAAGATAATTACCAAACAGGGAAAACAGCTAAAACACACACAAAAACACTGATCTTCTGTTTAAAAGAAAGTGGAAAAGTTGTATTTTAATTAAATATTTTTTCCTTTATATGCCAAACGCCAAACCTGTAACCCGGAGCACACTCATTGAGACTTTATTTCTAAGCTGGAACTAATCATCTTATCTGGTGACCACCTATCATGGTTATTGCCCCTCCGCACCATCTATTCAGGCTTCAACACATCTTATTTATTTCCATAAGAAACCCCTAAATGTACTTTTCTCAGTTTACTAAAGTTTGACATTAAATATGAGGCAAATATTATCCACTGCGTTAACAACTTATTTTCTGTTAGTGAATGCGGGCAGTGACTAATGTTACTGTTATTCTGGCGCAGTTTACCTGATCGATCATTAATCCACAAACCCCTGAAATTAGGTTGCACTCATACAGTCTATGGTTAGGCTAGCCACCGTTAGCTAGCTCGTAACGCTTACCAATCGCTACTCTGGGTCTGGCGACGTTATTCATCCCCACTTTCTGCTCAGCCCGGAGCAGGGAGGAAAGGACTGTGTCCAGTCGGTCGTCCAGCACTGCATTCTGGGGTGACCGGAACCAGAGGGCCAACACAACCACAAATAAGGACACGACAGACCCATATTTCACCCACGGTACCCTGCCTCCCGCCTCCATCGCTCGCTCTCTTGCTCTGTGTACAAGCGCTCTCTCCCCCTGCGCTGTCGCTGAAAAGCTGTGCTCGAGGTTGTCTGCTTTGGTCGCCCGAGTGTCCCGGATGTACCTTAATGGGGCGGATACCGAACAGTGGATTTTCTGCGATACTAAGAAAAATCACTTCAACTGCATTCTTGTCTCTTTTACAAATACCCCCCCCCCCCCAAAAAAAAA